TCGTTCTTTTCTGAAAATCGCATCTTTTCTCCATTTCGCAAATTTTTTTTTTCAAGATCGCAGTTTGTAAAAAGCCGAAACTTTGCGGAACCTAGCCTAGATCTCGTTCATAATACTCTTCTGACATATCCTACTCACCATAGATCGACAGATATATACAAAAAAAAAAAGAAAAAAAAAGGAAGTAGTCCTCTTTTATTTTTATGTTTAATTTTATTTTATCTGTTGATTAGGGCCGGAGCAAAGATTGTTGGGTTGGTTACCTACCTCCGTTTTCCCTCCCACCCACCCCTTGCATGCATCCCGGTTCAGTACAGTGCCACATCAGCAGTGCCACGTAACAGTGCCAGATCAGCAGTGCCACGTCAGCAGTGCCACTTCACAGTGCCACGTCAGCAGTGCCACGTCACAGCGCCAGATCAGCAGTGCCAGGTCACAGTGCCACGTCAGACATAGTGCCACGACAGCAGTGCCACGTCAGACACAGTGCCACATCAGCAATGACGTCAGACACAGTGCCACGTCAGACACAGCCACATCAGCAGTGCCACGTAAGTAGCAGTGCCACGTCAGCAACATGACGGGCCTGCCAGGTGAACTGCCCAACGAGTCCCTTGCAGCCTACAAGCAGCGGTTCCAGGCTCAGATCGAGGCTGAGGAACAACGCCAGCTGGCAGCCGAGGCTGCCCGCGTACAGGCTGAAGAGGCAGCAGCAGCAGAGCAACTGCAGCTACAGGCCGATGCAGACGCAGATGCCCAGGCTCGCCGCAAGGAAGCCCAGGATCTGCTGCAGCGGCATGAAGCCAACAGCATCGACAGACTCAAGTTCTGGCATTTTGAACTGAACGGCAACGAGGCAACACCGGAAGAGAAGCACAAGGAGTTCCTCTCCAAACTCGTGACAAGGTTGTTGTACGCTTGCAACTACCAATGGTCATAGTTGGAGAGACAGTACCAGGACCTGACGCAACAGCATCAGGAGTTGGCAAAGCTCCGCCACATGGTGCAGAGCCACGAGGATGCGACTTGGGCACTCAATGCCCGATTGCTGGACCTGGAACAGGCTGTACCAGGACCAGCTGTTGGGGCTTCCAGCAGTGCACCCTCTAGCCGCCAACTGGAGGACCGTGTTGACCACGTAGTGGCAATGCTCGGCGACATCAGCACTTTCGCTGCGCCGACCACCACCATCAGCAGTCAGCTGCATACATTGAAGACCGAGGTCCAGCAGCTGCAGACGACGAACGCGGATGGCAACCCGAAGATGTATAATATGCCAACTTTCAATCTGGAGAGGTTCGGCGACTACACGCAGCAGGATCCGGTCCTCTGGTGGGAAGCATTCACAACGCAACTCAGGATTCTGCCCGTAGCCAAGCATGCGTACATCGGCGCCCTGTTCCTGAACTCAAAGGGCGGATGCCAGACCTGGTTGAGCCACCTGGCAACCTCCCACGGCGTCGACGTACCAGACTTGAAGGACAAAATCACATGGGAGGAACTGACACGGCTGTGGAAGAAGCGGTTCATCGTCGACGACGCGCCGRCACTCGCCATCAACCGTCWRTTCACCATGTCACAGGGCAACACTKCAACACGGGAYTGGCTCACSGAGTGGCAGAAGATTGCGRCAGTGCCCAATCYGGAYCTGCCTTTCACTCATCTCAGACGTGAGTTCTACAACAGATCCTGTGCGGCATTGAGCCAGGCTCTTGGTGATCGCGAGCAGTACTCAACCTTCGCTGAAATCATTGACAAGGCGAGGGAGATCATCAAGACCAACAGGTCAGCTGCACACGAGAAGTCACCATGGCAGGAGAAGGTACGAACTGGTCCGCGACAACAACACTTCGCTGCAGTCCAGTCGGACAGTGGAGATAACCCAACAGCCACTCCAGCATCAAGTGACGGAGATCAGGTGGCTGCTGTCCAGCCGCGAAGCAACAACAAGTTCTGCAACAATGGGAAGGCGAAATCCGCATCGCAGGCCGGAACTGGACAGCCAGTACAAGTTCCATGGGTCAAGTTTGGCTTGACCGAGGCAGAGTACAAGGTCCGCGGCCGCTATGGCAGCTGCTATTGGTGCAACATCACCAAGCACAAGACCTCCCTGTGCCAAGATYAGGGCAAGGAGGATGTGCGACCCCGCCTCAGCTCGGGAAACTGAGCTCCACGAAAGGTGATGCGACTCCACCTTCTACTCCGCCAGATTCGGCTGCCTTGCTAGCGGCCTCCTGCACATCTGGGGAGAACGCGAATGTCGCAAGTTCTCGGTACACTTACGAGGACTATGTTGTCCACTTGGTTCCACCGTTGGACCAACCGCTCCACGTGCAACAATCCATCGCATGCACGGTTTCATCACCATCGGCAACCGATTCGGCACCTTCGCCGCAATCTATCGCCGGGGATTCGACGTCATGGTCAAGACTTGAAGAATTCGACCCATTGACGTTCATGGATTTCCAGTGGATGCCCGTTCCCTCGACGGGACGATTGCTGAAACCGCATTGCAACGTGCTCATGGCACAATTGCGTGATTACTTGCACACTGCAGTACCAGCTCCGTTGATGGACGCCGGAGCAGAGGTTGTCGACCTTCACGCTTACATCGCGAAGACCGACCGCGAGTTCAAGACGCAACGGTACGACGACATCGACGCATCATTGCTCTACGTACGCATTCAGATCGGAGAGGCGGCCTGCAGTGCCTTGATCGATTGCGGAGCATCTCGCAACTACATCAGCCAGGACTTCATGGCACACGCCGGCCTTGGCCCACGTGTCCGGAGGAAGTCCCAGCCTACGCAAGTCACTCTCGCAGACGGTCATACGCACGAGTCCATCGACCGGTGCATTGACGCCGTCCCAGTGTACTTTGCCCCTTGCGCAAGTGAGGCGGTGTCCTTTGACATTCTGGACACCAAATTCGACATGATCTTGGGCATGTCATGGCTGCGAAGCAAGGATCACCCGGTGAACTTCTTCMACCGCACCGTTCACRTYCGTGAYCGGAACGGAGTAYTAGTTCCATGCACGGTGCCTCTTCCTCATCCTTCGATCAGYTGCCACGTGGTATCCGCCGCAAGCRTGCGAGCTTCCATCATCAGAGACGACATCGAGGAGATGGGGGTGTGTTTTCTCCAYGCCCTCCCGCCMCATGACGCTTCATCGACGGASTCACCTTCGGATCCACGCATCACCGAACTTCTCGACGCCTACAACGACGTGTTCGAAGGCCCGCACGGAGTAGTACCGGATCGACCCATCCGCCACGAGATCATCCTCGAGGACGAGGCCGTACCTCCGCGCGGTTGCATCTACCGAATGAGCGAGGAAGAGTTAAGTGCGCTCCGCGCACAACTCGACGACCTTCTAGAGAAAGGCTGGATTCGGCCTAGCTCATCGCCTTACGGTGCTCCTATTCTCTTCGTCCGGAAGAAGAACAAGGACCTGCGGTTGTGCATCGATTATCGCAAGCTCAACGCGCAGACGATCAGGAACGCCGGCCCTCTCCCACGCATCGATGACCTTCTCGAGCGATTGGGCGGCGCACAATTCTTCTCTAAGCTGGATCTCAAGTCAGGGTACCACCAACTCGAGATTCGCAAGGAGGATCGCTACAAGACCGCGTTCAAGACACGGTATGGGCATTTCGAATGGCTGGTCATGCCATTTGGCCTTACGAATGCCCCAACCACTTTCCAAGCGGCTATGACAACGGAGTTCCGACACATGCTGGATCGGTTTGTACTCATCTACCTCGACGACATCGTGGTGTACAGCCGGAGTTTGGAGGAGCATGTGGAACACCTGCGCACCGTTTTGGAGCGGCTACGACACGCCAAGTACAAAGCAAACCGCAACAAGTGCGAGTTCGCACTGCAGGAGCTGGAGTACTTGGGACACTATGTGACGCCGCAAGGCATCAATCCGCTCGCGGACAAGATCGAGGCCCTACGAGTGTGGCCCGAGCCCACCAACACCACGGACGTCCGTTCATTCATGGGATTGGCGGGCTACTATCAGCGATTCATCACCGGATGCTCCAGGATTGCTGCACCTATGACGAGGTTACAGTCGCCAAAGGTGCCATTCGTATTCGATGACGACGCACGCCGGTCATTCCAAGCACTTAAGACGGCTATGCTCATGGCACCCGTCCTTAGCATCTATGACCCCACCCTGCCGACGCGATTGACTACGGACGCTTTCGGCTATGGCATTGGGGCAATCTTGGAACAGCACGATGGCGACGACTGGCACCCTGTGGAGTATTTCAGCCACAAAGTGCCTCCCATCAACTCGCTTGATGATGCAAGGAAGAAGGAGCTGCTCGCATTCGTGATGGCTCTCAAGCGCTGGCGGCACTTCCTCCTTGGGCGTCGTAGGTTCACATGGGTCACAGACAACAATCCATTGACCTACTATAAGACGCAGGACACGGTGAGCAGCACGATCGGATGATGGATGTACTTCATCGACCAATTTGACTTCACACCAAAGCATGTCCCCGGCCTCTCCAATCGCGCAGCAGATGCACTCTCGCGAAGACCTGATCTTTGCGCTATGACACATCATGCCTTCGCATTCGACGAGGAGCTTCAGCGACACTTCATCCGGGCATATCAKTCTGATCCGGACTTCGRCACGCTCTATGCACARCTATCKTCGGATCACCCRCCGGCCAGCCATTACCGCATTGYCGACGGGTACTTGCTCCTCCACTCGAGAGGCAAGGACTTACTATGTGTCCCACRCGACCGTCGTCTTCGGACTCGCCTCCTCGGCAAGTATCATGATTCACGACTCGCCGGCCATTTCGGAGTCAACCGCACTATTGCACGGCTTCGACAACGATTCCGATGGCCCGACCTCATTACCGATGTCACTCGGTATTGCGACTCTTGCGAAGTTTGCCGATGCAGCAAGCCCCGCAACCGCAATCCCTACGGCGAGTTACACCCGATGCCTATCCCACGGGAACCCGGTCTCTCCATTGCCATGGACGTCACCGGTCCGTTTCCTCGCGATCGGCTCGGGCACGACGGCATCCTCAAGATTGTGGACCGATTGAGTAAGTACGTGCGTTTTCTACCTTGCAAGTACTACTCCACGGCCCCCGAGCTGGCACGCCTCCTGCACACTGGTTGGATTTGTGGCCACGGTGTACCAGAAGACATTGTCAGCGACCGCGACACTCGTTTCATGTCGGCGTTTTGGACTGCTCTCATGCAGGACTCCGACACAACAATGAAACCAAGTTCGGCTCGGCATCCTCAGACAGACCGGCAGACGGAGCGGGCACATCAAACCGCTCAAATGATGCTTCGTACGCTCATCCGTCCGGACCAGAAAGATTGGGTTGACCGCCTCCCCGACATCAAGTTCGCCTACAACACTTCGGTGCATCCGGCGATCGGCGTGACTCCATTCGAGTTGCACCACGGTGGACGGAAAGGCCGGATCTTCGCTGACCTTCTCCTCCCTCGACCAGCCGACATTGACGCTGCCCGCTCTCCCGCTTCCGTCCGGAAGTACAGGGAATTGCTGACTCAAGCCCGCGCAAATATGCAAAAGGCTCAAGTCCGCATGCAGCAGCAAGCCAAC